TGAGACGCATGCGCCTAGGACTGACAGCGTTCCTTTTAACTTCTTAGCAAAGTTACGCGTCAATTGGATTTCTTGCATTTCGCTAGGATACATCATATGAAAAGCCCCTGCCGATGTATTTAATGTTTTGATGATGGGGAAAACAAAGAAGACTTGATAATTGTGTGTAGAACAATACATTTTCTGCCGTTCAAGTGTAAATCATCCTGGAGTAGAGACAATGTGTCACTTGCAGCACTGAGAACAAAGATGCTGTACGGAAAGGTGGGCCACAGTCGCGCATCTGAACGCTGATATTCTCTGCAGCAGTACAAGACAGTTGGAAATTTGTCTGTTGTTGGTCTTCTAAATCAACAAAAACGTAGATGGGCCAGGCATCGGTGGCTCATGCCTGTAATCCTAGCTACTCAGGAGGCAGAAATCAACAGGATCCAGGTTCGAAGCCAGCTCCAGCCAAATAGTTTGCAAAACCCTATCTCGAAAAACCCTTACAAAGAAAAGGGCTGGTGGAGTGGCTCAAGGTAAAGGCCTTGAATTCAAGCCCCAATACAAAAAAATATATTAAATAACAAAAAATCATCAATGGAATGATGTTATTTCTAAGCAGAGACAAGAAGTCAACAAACAAAATCAGACAAGGTCACAGAACAAGTAGGTATTCTGTGGCCATGCTGGCTCATCCTTGGTTCATCCAAACAGTGATGCCACATTGCCTCCATCATTCTTTTGAGTACATGCTTGAAGTGTCCAGGTGTGTGTGGTCCAAAGACTTCTGCTTAAAAAATCTCCCTTCATTCTCACACCAACCCTGTGACGCAGGGCCTCACATTCTTCTTAGTTTACAGCTAAGAAAGAAGCTAGAGAGGCAGGGCAAACCCATCATACAATGGCACTCTGGACAGACAGCTCCCCACCCTTGACAGAGACTGTGGCAAAGGTGTCCTGAAAGACCCCTGCAGATCTTCAGCTACATGGGCTCTAAGGACTCAAGGTTGTGTATAATCCAGTGCTTTTTGTCCTCAGCATCTTCCACAGGGCCTCCTGCCCTCACAAGTTCCCCTTGGGGGTCAGAATCTGCTCTGGCTCTGGCAGTGGCCCACAGAGCCTAGGCCTCTGCAGACATTGTCACAGCACTTCACCAGCAATACTGGCCCTGACCCAGCCCCCAATGCTGGCCTGGCAATTGGTGCTCACCTCTCTGTGGTCACTAGATTGACACTCATGTGTAACCCTGGACAAGTCACTGAGTGTTAGCTGCTGATAGCTCCCAGCTGAGCCTAGCTTTGGCCTCTTCAGCCTTGCCCTCAACTACAGAAAGCCACTTCTCTCAGGGTCACACCCTTCTACAGAGGGAACCCTCATCCATAGCTGGATGATGCAGGAAATCTAGTCCGTCTTCTGCCTGCACATGGGCCACCTCTGCAGGATGGTGGCTCTCTAGAGCAGGCCTCAGTGCCTTTGTGGTGACCACCTGTTTCAGTGTCTTCTGCTCCCCAGCAGTGTGGCCAGTTTTCTGCAGACACCAGCAGGCCTATTTGCCCTAGTACCCAATCTTATCTTTTTCTATCCTTCCTTACTTTGTTCCTTCCTTCCTCCTTTCCCTTGCCTTCCCTTCCCTTCTCTCCCCTCCACTCCCTTCCCTTCCTCCGTCCATCCCTCCTTCCCAGAACCAATCTTCCTTTCTTTTTTTGGTGGTATTGTAGTTTGAACTCAAGGCCTTGCACTTGCTAGGCAGGTGCTCTACCACTTGAGTCATGTGCCCTTATGCATTAGTTATTTTTCAGATAGTGTCTCATGTTTATACCTGGGCCAGCCTGGACTGTGATCTCCTACTTATTTCCCCATGTAGCTAGCACTACAGATGTACACCGCTACATCCAGCTATTGGTTGAGATAGGGTCTTATGACCTCTACCCCCCACAGGGGCTGGCCAAGAATAGTGACCCTCCAGGTCTTCACCGCCTGAGTAGCTAAGATTACAGGTGTGAGCACTGCATCTGACTCCCATAACTCAATCTTGAACTCATTTGTAAGGGAGAACCATTCAGGAGCTACAACTGTGGGTTACAACATACCTCATTTCAGCTGGTGCTTTGGCAGTGGAGTAAGAAATGAATTCAGGGGAGCAGGGACCAGGGGAGAGTAAGGCTGTGTTGCTGTAGGTGGTATGGGCTGAGACTGGCAGAAATCCAGGAGGGAAAAGAGAAATCAATAGAGACTTGAAAAGAAAAACCTCTGAAACTGGCAGTCATGTCCTCATTTCTGTTTGCGCGTCTTCCCAAGTCTTGGATAAACACCCCATCTGTGAGCACTGTACAGCGTCCACTGAGACCAGCACTGCTCACACCTTCCTGTGCCTTGTTCCTGTGAGACTGACAGCTGCAGACGGCCAGCAGTGCCTGAAGCTGCCCCGTGAGTAGCAGGGATCTCATACATAGAAACAGTCCTGCTTTTAGTCATCCTTGATTAGCTCTTACTTCAAAAATTAACTTGTAAATTCTTCAAGGGCAGAGATGGCATCTTATTCCTCTCTGAATAAAGAGTGTAGTACATAACAAGTGTCCCTTAATTTAGCGATTCTTTAAAAGATTATTTTTTTTTAATTAGGTCAAAATTTATTTGCTCCAATATTCACTTTTTCTGTTCTTCTTGGCCATTGTTACAATTATGCTGGAAGCATTTTTTTATTCGTGTGATACTGAAGTTACATTTCCATCAACTAATTATGACAGGAATGATTTATTTCCCTAGGGAAAAAATGGCTTTACTTTTGCTTTTAAGCAAACAACATCCAAAACTTGTTTAGATTTGGACCAACAATTAAAGCATCAATTCATGAAAGATTCATTTGTCTTCTATGAATGTCTAAAGTGGACATTCATAGAGGGCTGTGGCATAGCACAGCTGTGGCACTGGTTCACAGCAGCCATGAGCAGCTGTCATCAGAAAGATCAAGCAAGGAGCAGTTTGTTTTGAGGCTGTGGCCACTTCTTTCTCCCTCTTTGAAGACAGGGCTTGGGGAAGGCATTTTCTCTTATGGGGTTTGAAATGTGAAATTGATCTTGAAGAAAACTATAACCAACAAGAATAAAGGCCCACTTAGGTTTCCTTAGTGTTCAAGAATTCTCTAGATGGCAAGAGACAGATCCAGAGCAGAAAGTATGTGTGATAAGACAGTAATTAAGAGAAAACATCATCTAATCAGCACATAGAGTACACCAAGTCCTCTCAAGTGTTTGCAGGTACAGTCAGGTCTCACAACTTGGGGCCGTCTATGAAGTCACCACAAACCTCAAATCAGGGAATGCTAAACCATTGCTTCCAGAGAAAACGCAAGTGTGGTTCCTGGCCACATTTTCGTTAACTGAGCAATACATAATCCTGCTGTGTTTATATTTAAGATATTTAATATATATTGATCAGTGTTGAATGCACAACCAACAGCACCATCACCTACACCTGGAGGAGGCTTCTTTACCCCCTCAGTCTTCCCCAACAGGGCACATGACAGTCTAGTGCTCAGGAACCCGACAGCACCACTGCACTGTGGCCAGGTCCATGGTACAGTGTAATTAATCAAAAAAGCACAAAAAGGTATCAGTTTATGTCCTTTTCTTCATATGGAAAACGAAAGTTACTTCTAAGGAAAACTTAACCATGTACTCTCACAGATGTGAAGGACAGAAGGACAGACTGCAGGAGGTCCCAAAAGGCCATAAGTGGTCAAGGAGACACTTCTCCCTAGGAAATGCCTGTTTGCATCTGAAAGGCATCTCCGCCCTCAGGCAATGCAAAAATAGGCTATAAAACCATTCCCCACCCTGACCCATGGGATCACCGGTTTCCGGGTCCCCCTGCATTCTCCAATATGCAGTCTTTCTCTTTTCTCCAACTAAATTCTCTACAAATAAAATCTTTCCGACCTCTGCTGTAAGAGTTTGTGCTTTTATTCTCAGAGCAGGCTCAAGAACCCTGAGCACCTGAAATTCCTGCGCGTGTCATCCCTGCATCAGATGTACTTTTATTAAGTAGGCACAGAGGCTCATTGTACAGCTCTTACACCTACTTTCTCACCTTCCTTTTAAAAGACAAAAAGGATGAAAGTTCACACTTTAGTATGAGTAGGCCAAATGCATTCATTTTTTGCCTGAAGGATGCTGGGCATTGGCTGCTTTGTGAGTGTATGAGCTGCTCTTCTGGAGTGCTCACTGAAGGCAGCAGGATGGACAATGACCCCCTTTTAACGATCAGGGTTTAGGGAGGGAACAGAGCCGGAAAGCAGTTAGACAAAAGGCATTTTCCTTACCGTCTCGCCAAACCTAGGAATAATCGCTCGAGCAGAGCCTGTAAGGACAGGACTGGCGTGTTGGAGGGCTCCAGGTTTCTCTAGCACCTATCTGGACAACATGGAGCCCTCCTTTCTAATCTCTCCTGTCTTGGCATGGTGAAGGATGGAGGAGAGAGCCACTTTCCCACCCAACACTGGGCTGTTCAAAGTCCGCTCGACGGGTCTGACTGGGGAGAGAGCGGGGTTGGCCGGGCTGTCCTCGCTCGCCGGACACGGAGGCTCACTCCTGAAATCCTAGCTACCTGGGAGGCTGAGATCGGGAGGAACAAGGTGTGAGGCCAGCCCGGGCAAACAGCTCGCGAGACCCCCTCATCTCGCAAATAATCAAAGCAAAATGGACCAGAGGTGTCCCTTCTTCTGGTGACGGTATGAAACCTATCTGTTCTCCCCAACCCTGAGCATTCGGCAGGTGACAGCAGCTCGGCTGAGGAGACCGCGTGGGGAGAGAACCAGCCGCCCGCACCGCATCCCCGCATGATGGTCCACAGCAAACCGCACCGAAGGAGCGACTACAGCGCCAGCGTAACCCGACCTGAACAGCGGGCCATGAGGGAGGCCGGCGCGCATGCGCACGCTTACGTCACACGCCGGAAAGCGGTACGCCCAGACTTCCGGCGGCGCGTTGTTGTTTAGGTTCCGGGTTTCCGGGTAGGTACCGAGGCCGGCGAGCGAGTGGCCCGCGCAGCAGCCCGCGGAAGGGGCCATGGAGAAGTTGCGGCGGGTCCTGAGTGGCCAGGACGACGAGGAGCAGGGCCTGACTTCGCAGGTAGCGAGCCCGCGCCGAGGGCGGACGAGCAGGAGGGGCTGCCGTCCAGGGACTCCTTCCCGGTCTCCACGGAGCCCATGAGGCCCGGGAGGCCCACCCTGCCCTCGGCGGCCGCGTCCCCGGAGGCCGCGCGCTCCTCCGCGGTCTGAGCCCTCGGCAGCCTTGGCGGTCCCGGGGTGCGGGGCGAACTCGGGGAGCCGAGGCCCCAAACCCTCGCCGCGCCCGTTTGCCTCTAGGGCAGATAAATGAGGTGCCGTGTGTGAGGACCGCTCATTTTAAGGGGTGCCCTTTCGGGCATGGAGTGCTCGGTGGCTTCCCACCTCTGCAGTGATGATCGTGGGATCATCACTGTTAATGCATGTTAATGGGCTTTGCCGTGGCGTGTCCATACACGCATGCGTCGCCGTACGTTACCTTCTGTAATATCTAATAAGTAAAATTTCTCACGCCCAAGTACAGATTGACCACATGAAATGGGTCGATTTTTGACATAGAGACACTGGAGGGAAACAGCAGTGAAGCCATACGGAATTAAAAGTTGTCTGGTAAGGCCCTGAGCTCTGGCAAACGTTTTTTAAATAAAATACCAAAAACTCTTGTGATTGCGCTTCTCCCATGAGACTTGATAAGGGTTACTTCCCCCCAGCAGGAGGGTTATAAATAGGAGCACAGCAGGAACTGCTTTGTGTTTCTGTTTTGTGTGCCTGACACGGAAGTGCAGCATTACGGTTGAGTTGTGCCCCCCAGGAGCTTCATCTGCTCCCTTTCCTCCTCTGACTTCCTTCCATGCATCGTGTTTATTCAGCACAGCTTGTGGACAGGGTTGTGAGCTAGTCTTGGAGTCCAGACACTAAGACAAATTGACCTAAGTGAAATCTCAGTCCCCCAGGCTTGTTAGGCAGCCCACTTAAGCCAACCCCCCAAGCTCTTTTTTTGTTTTAGTTATTTTTCAGATAGGGTCTTGTGTTTTGCCTAGTCGTGCCTGTAATGATGATCCTTCTGATCTCTGCCTCCCAAGTAGCTGGGATTACAGAGGTGAGCTACTGTGCCCAGCCTCTGGTGACATTTTTCTCAATGGCTATTTTGTGCTCCACAATACAGGAGCTATAACCACATGTGGCCATCTAACTTAATTAAAATTTAAAGATTTAAGATTTACTTCCTTAGTCACAGTGGCCACGTTTTAAGTGTTCACTAGCTACTGTGCATGTGTGGAACATTTCCACTGTAGGGAGTGACAGTGTCACTCTAAACCGTGGGGATGTGAAGGTGATTTTTCCAGGCTGCAGTCTGGAGAGGAGAAGGATATATAAAGAAGTAATTATCAAATGTCTGAGCAACTGGCTGGTGTTGATAGAAGCTGTGAGTTTGCACTGACTGTTCAAGGTCCCACATTTGCTGCTACTCAAGATCCTGTGTTTTAGCAGTGACCAGCACAAAGGCCTTCTCCACATCAGGCTTACCTTTTAACCCAGGGACCAGTTAATGAACAAGTATGTAGCGTGCCGGGTGAGAAAGTGCCGCGGCAAAGTTAGAGTGGGTTGCAGAGCTTGGAGTTACCTTGTTGTGTAGGGTGGCTAGCCAGGCCTCTGTGTCAGTTGTGCAGACCACCAGGCAGAGGTCAGCAGATACAAAGCCCTGGGAACAGAGTAGTCCATGTGTTCTATCTAGGCCAGGTGGAGGCTGGAGCAGGGAGCAGGGTTACTATCCCGTGGGTCCTGCAGGCTGGGGAAGGGGTTCGTTTTACCCTGAGTGCAGTGCATGCTGGGGACTTGAGCACAGTGGTGATGTGGCTAACGTGGATGTTCTTTATTATTAAAATGAAACCTGTGGAGCTTCAAATTAATCTGGTGATACACTATTTCATTTAAACAAATACGATCTGCACGCTCACAGTGAGACATGGCTTCAGTTCCAGACATCACGTCCTCAAGATAGAAGTCTTTAAGAAAAGGAGGGGGGAGCTGAGGCATAGTTCAGGTGGTAGAGAGCTTGCCTAGCAAGCTGGAAGCCTTGTGTTTAATCTCCAGTACTGCAAAAATGGAAGGAAAAAAAAAAAAACCAAGAAACTTCACGTATCACAACATGAAAATTGGAAGATAGATCAGTATAGCTGAAATCTTTCTCATGACCTGTAGGGTTTGGGTTTGGAGTTGGGGTTTTGGAGTTCTTATGTCTGTTTGTTTTTCTTTTGGCAGTACTGTTAATAGAACTCACAGTTTTTGTTTTTCAAGACAGGGTCTTGCTGTGTAACCCAGGCTGGCCTGGAATTCACAGTCCTCCTACTGCAGCCTCCTAACGGCTGGATTACAGGTCTGCACTGCCATACCTAGCCATTAACGATGGTTTTTATTATCAACTCTTTAGTTCTAGAACCTCCTTAATGGTTACCAATACTCCAGTCACTTTGAGCGGCCTTAGGTAAGGCAGTACTCCCTCTCATGTGTGTGAGAACTCACCCAGCAAATTCTTGGTTGTGAAAGATGACTTATTTTTTGCACCTCTTCGTAGGTCTTTGTTCCCAGGTTAATAAACGCAAGTGTTACCGACTTGAATTTTAAAGGCTCACTCTGTGGGAAATAGACTGTGGGCAAGGATAGAAGCCCAGGGGCTAGTCAGGCAAAAGCACAGTGCTCCCAGTGAAAGATGACTGCCTGAGCAGCTTGAATCAAAAGTGACAGAAACAAAGTAGGCAGGTTCTGTCAGTAACTTGACTGTGGAGCTGACAGGATGGCTTGGGTGTGAGAGAGTGAGGGGAGATGAGGCTGCTTCGGCAGTGTTTGACCCTAGCAGCCAGGAAGATGGAGGTGCCCTTAATGTGGGATGTGGAAGGAGCAGGTTCTCAGAGGAAAGCTAATTTGATGCAGATGCTGCATCTGAGACGTTGCAGTCTGTCAGAGGTGAGGCACAAGCAGAGAGGAGGTGACCCAAGGATTGGCTGTGGAGGTCTCCATTGTGAAGGCTGGAGGAGAACCAGAGGGGTGCCTGGGAAGTGAGGGGACAGTGCTCAGGAAGAACAGGCATCACATGCTGTGAGAGGTCTCCTGGGTTAAGAACTGAGACCCGTGGAAATCAGATCACTTCCAGCAGAGCAGTTGTGGTGGCTACATGGCAAGCTTGTTGTTCAGTGGGTTTGCTGTAAAGCAAAGAAGTGGCATTTGGAAGGTAAGTAGGGTTGGGAAACTTTTTTTTTTTTTTTTTTTAACAGTCAGTAAATAACATGCTGCTGTGCTTTTGGGGTGGTCGAGGAAACGGGAAGTGACGGCAACAGAGGTTCATCGCAGGAGCCATCTGGGAGAGGCTGAGAAGCAGAGGGACCCAGTGGGCAGCCTGAGGTGGGACTGGTGGTACAGATGCACATTTGGCGCTGCGATGGGTGGGCGTTTTCATGACTCCTGAACTGTTCACTAAGCAGGATGTGAACTGAGCGGGTTTTGGAAGTTCAAGGAGAAGGTGTGGAGTGGTCGTGTAAGAGGAAGAGTGGATGAATGCACCAAGGCAGAGCTACTCCCTGGGGTAGTGGTCCTGAATTTAGAGTGAGAGTTGGCACACTTACGTGTGTTTCCTTCAGCTTCATTCGGCAACAGGGCAGGGCAAAGTTCAGATTTGGGGTGAGAGTGTGTTGGGAGAGGAGGAGGGCCGGGGGCCAGTGTGAGTAACAAGAGTGTTGGTGGGAAGGAGGTAATAGTTAGAAAGTGAGGTTATAGAGACAGTTGAGATTGTACTGCACTTATTAATAGATACAGGGTTTGGTGGCCAAGGTAAGGGGGAGGTTTAGTCCATTGGAGGAGAGAAGGTCATGACACCAAGAGTCCAGAGTTCTGGAAAGATTGCTTTCTTCATAGTGAAGGCTTTGAGAATGAAGACAGGTAAGGTGAAGAGCCAGTGAGAGGAGCGATGTGGGAGATGATTGGGGATGCAGGTGGGGAGGAGCAGGGCACAGTGTCATGGCGGACTTGAGCAACTCTCTGGGAAGGGAGGGGCAGGAGGAGAGACCCCAGCCCACCTCCTGTCCTGGTGGTACAGGATGCTGAGAGAACGCAAGCTCTCAAGAAGGCTCAGAGGAAACCTGAAGCCAGGCTCAGCAGGATGGGATTGGAGTGGGGTAGTGAGAGGAGGGAGAGAACCCGGGATTTGCCAGTGGAGCCAGGCTTAGATTACAGGTTCACAGGCCTGGAAGTGGGTGAAAGGTATGCTGAGTGTTGAGCGTCTTGTGTAACAGGAGGGGGACATGGTAGAATAGGGGACACGGATGGTCTTAGACCTGTTGAGGGGCTAGGCAAGGGTGAGGGCAAAGCAGTAGGTGTTAAGGGGCTTCTTGGAGTCTGGGCTTCTCTGACCTGTTGCTGAGGGGCTTTTGAGGTCTGGGGAGTGGCAAGAGAGCCAGCGTCTGGGAAATCTTCAAGGAAGGAACCGCCTAAGGAAGGTCTCAAAAAAATCCTGTCCTGCTGTCCTTGTCTGTGGCTCTTGGAATAAGCCAATTCCTGCTGTGGCCTCTTGGACCTGCACTGACCTGGCTCCCACCTCCTCCTTCTTCACCCCCATGTGGCTCCCTGTGCCCCAGCCCCTCTCTCTCACTAAGCCTTTTCTGCCAGGCATGTGGCAATTGCATTTTTTTGCTGAATGCCTCAACATGGCTCTTCTCAAGATGGAATTCTCACTTGCCAGTCTTTAGCAGACCCTTGTTGATTCTAGTTACTGTACCCATTCACTCTTTTAGCACTTGCTGCATTCTGTCGTTCATCCTCATTTGGGATTCCCTTCCCCCATTTGCAGGTAAGCGCCTTCAGGGCTGAGCCCTTGTCTGTCCTGTCTCCTGTTTATCAGGGTTGTGCAGTACCTGCCACGCACTATGTGTTCATAGGCTTGTGGACAAGAGGGCAAGTGCTGAATGGCTTGGATTCGGACAGTTGCTGAGGCGAGGAGCCCTTGTTTGGAGGTCATACTGCAGGGATGAAACAGGGAGCCCGTTCCTTACGCAGGGCAGCTCTTGCAACAGA